TCCCCTGCAGTCCTCCCAAAGGCCCCATTTTCGCACAGCTGATCGGCGGTTCCAAAATGGCCGCCGGCGCCGATTCCTCGCTTACCGAGGCGGCGAAAATGGCGGCCCTATGGAGGATTCCCGCTTAGCGGTGAGTTTACCCCCCATAGGAACACATTAAACGTGTTTTAATGCGTTCCTATGGGTTTTTTTGCCCCACATAGCGAGGAATCCGGATAGCGACGTTTTTCCTGGAACGGATTAACGGTGCTATGCGGGGCACCACTGTATAGCCTTTTCCTCGTTGCTCCCTTTCCATAAAGTATAGACTAAGGCACCAAGAAACAGGGTCTATTCAGAGGTGGTACCTGGTTGTGGAACACTTTCCATGAAGGTCATCTGATGTATATGATAACTTTTCAGCACCAGGAAAATACCCGGTTCACCTAGGTTTTTTAACATTAGCCTAGAACTACGTCAACTGGTTTGCAAACATCTAGAGGTTTAAAGTGCTCTATCTTACTTTATGTATAATAAGACAGACATATACAGAACATCTAATACTCACTTTCATCATCACTGTCTGGTGAATCCTATACAAGAAAAAAGAAAATTAGCCATAAAGCGCACAGTACTTGCTTTTATGCAATATTCTTTTCAGTATCTCCTTGAGCAACTATTTATGTATCTGGAATAATTTATGTTCAAAGTAAGAATTAACTTTAATCTGAAATGGGATGAAATGTACTATTAGTACTAGGAAGAATCTGAAAATGTTGGTTCAAAAATTCACTGGCAATTTTATCTATGAGAGCATGCTTCAGCATCACATTGTGTACAGCCATCTTCCCACACACCCTAGATGAATTCTGTTGGTTCTAGCAACCTGAGTTGTAACTGATGAACTTTCCATATTCTTTACCAATAAAAAGGAATGATACTTTTTTGGGGGGCACTCTTTTTCATATGGCTGTTTTTCACTGGTGCTCCAGGCTTTATGTCTCAGTTCTGTCACCCTCTGAAAGCCTGAAGTCTCCCGTTTGGCGTTTCATGCAAGTTCACAGGAAAATTCTAAAGTGAAAATCATGCTTTTCTAACTCCATCCCATCTCTGTAAGACATGTTTCATGGCACACATTTGATTCTGGAATCTGTTTCCCAGGGAGTACTATGAGCAGCAGGCAACATGCTGAACACTGCAGATTTGTGACTAGCATCTCACTGGACAAAGGACGTATCTCTTAAGAGTCTTAAATGACAACTCCATCCTCATTGTGAAGGGGCATGGTTTCCCCAGGGATCCAATTATTTGGGAGAGCTGGTGCTTTCTTTGCTTTTCTATAGTGTCTTCTAAAATTTTATCTTTTACCATAAGTTCTGCAATAAAGACAAACTAGCTTTTCCCTAACCAAGAAAAAGCCAAACAAAAAGCTAAACCAAACCAAGCAAAAAAAAAAAAGTTTAATGCAAATCTGGTTGAAATCATATCTACAAACATTAAGACATTCAAACCATAGATCAACCTTACCTTCTTATATAGAACATGGGAACTTTGATGCACCTTTCCTGTACCTTAATTTCAACCCAAGCAAAATCTCACAAGCACCTTGCTCTTTATACAGTGCATCCATACTAGTAGTATGAGATAGCTGGAACAAAATGCAGCCCTTGGTAGTGTCAACCTGTACAAACTTATTTGCAGTGGAGTCCTGTCCACACATCCATAAACTACACTAATCTAGTCTACGTGATCCATATTAGAAAAAGGAAGTTTCATTTTATTTAATGGTCTTTGTTCTAGGTAAGAAGATGATTTTTAAAAAACTCTTTTCAGGAAACCAAAAAATGGAACTCACCTCTTATATTTACCTGGGATAGAAATGGAGGTACAAGAAAAAAGCATTAATGTGTCCATGTTCTGAGTGAGGAATGGGGTCAACCTGTAGTCACAATGTCTTTATTTTTAGGCTAAAGTTTCAACCGCAATTTCAACCTTTAAACCACAAATTTTTAATTTTTGCAGAATGTATAAAGCAAGTGGAGTTTAGATATAGGAACGTACCAATTTTGAACAGAATTCTGATGGAAACATAATTTTACACTGACTTACAATGTGTTCTGAGTGAGGAATGGGGTCAACCTGTAGTCACAATGTCTTTATTTTTAGGCTAAAGTTTCAACCGCAATTTCAACCTTTAAACCACAAATTTTTAATTTTTGCAGAATGTATAAAGCAAGTGGAGTTTAGATATAGGAACGTACCAATTTTGAACAGAATTCTGATGGAAACATAATTTTACACTGACTTACAATGACACAACTAGCAGAAATTTTGAACAGAATTCTGATAGAAACATAATTTTACACTGACTTACAATGACACAACTAGAGTAGGCCCACCTGAATCAACAGAAGCTACAAAGAAGTTGATTCACTATATTCCCACTGATTCAATGCACCTACTCTAGCATGAGTTACTATGCTAAGCAAGAGGATTTCGGACATTAGCCTCAGCAAGGGTCCTTCAGCAGCTACTTACATCATCTGCTCCATCTACTTCTGGCAAATCTACATCTTCATCACCACCCATGTTGTTCATCATCTAAATTACAATATGGAATAATTTTCAATGAAACCTTGAAATTATTATACTTTTGAACTCTTAACAACTAAAATTCCTGTAGCACTTTTTTACTATGTTTCCCCGAAAATAAGACCTAACCTGAAAATAAGCCCTAGTAGGATTTTCAGGATGCTCATAATATAAGCCATACCCCCAAAATAAGCCCCAGTTAAGTGAAACCCTGCCCCCCACCATTGTGCGGCAACCAGAAGAAGATGACATCACTGTATTTGAATAAATGTAGATTGTCGTGCATGAAAATAAAATGAAGCATCCCTGAAAATAAGCCCCAATGCATTTTTGGAGCAAAAATGAATTTAAGACCCTGTCTTATTTTCGTGGAAACACGGTATGTCAAGTAACCAAAATCAGCAACAGCACTGCCTAGTTTGTCTCAAATTATGATCCACTGCTGAATATTCCACTTACTTCAGAAAAGCGATCAAAATTGGACATATCTTCATCTGAATCATCTTCCCAGTCTTTCCAGTTGTTAAAGTCCACGCTGAGCCAATTCAGCTGCCGATAGAAACACAAAGCAAATGCAAGTTACACAGGAAATAATGAGGGAGATTACAAAGAAAAAATTTCCACCAATAGTTGAAAAAGGTTATGAAAACCCTGTTTCTCACTGGTGGCAATGTTCTCTTCTACCCACAAAGACTCCCTCCCTCCTCAGGGACAAATACTGCACAGAATCTATCACTCTGCCAACGGTCTCAGAAACTTAGGTTACCTAAAAATTCTGAAACATAATACGACGTTACATTTAAACTGACATTTAGTGAGGGTCTAAGTGTAATACCAATTTGACTATGTAACCAAGATCAGTGCTTCTAGTTAATACCCCAGAATTCAACACTCCCCTTTTCAAGCATTGGATGGTTTTGTAGGATGATCTCTTGATTTTTGTTCTACTACCCACAAGTCTCTGACAGACATATTTGGCTTGGATTCTGAATTTGAACATTATTTTTCGCACTCAAAACCCATGGCCAATGTTGTATAGTACTACTGTAGCACCATGCACAAATGTAATATTCTTTTAAAGCACCTACGTCACAGTTACATGATGTTACTGGGTGGTGAGTGAAAAGGACAGTGTTGGCCTTCAGGATATTAACCAGGAAATGCAAATTGATCGGTCTTATACACTTTGGGTGCACTATGAATCGCAAACAGTTTTGTGCTACAAAACTATTACCAGAACTCTGCAGTTGTGATATCAAATTTCAGGGTTCATGGTTAACACAGTTGTCATAATAGACCTCTCTTCTCCAACTGCCAGTCCTCTGTGGTCCCCAAAAACAGTGGTGGGCGGTTTTCCTGCCTTTCCAGTTCTTACACACAAGAGGCTACAGCAGAGATTGGGACAATTCTTTCCCTTGTTCTGCTTCATCCTGTTGTTCTGCCAGACAAAATCCAGACAAAGTCTTCCCCTTCATCATCAGCCAGTAAATAAATGAGCTACTGGTCTTTCAAACACTATATTCTCATCAATCCACACATTTATGAGAGTGACAGCACATAATTCTAACCTGAACTGGAAAAATAAGCCTAGAAGACTACTTCTGTTCTAATTTGGTGGTTGCGGATATGGTTTTAATTAAACGGGGCAGGGAAGAGGCAGATGGACAAAAAGAGAGTCAGAAATATCTCAGCATATTCCTGACACTTGTTCGATAAGTGACATGAATTGCAAGTATTAGGCAAGTATTACGTCCTCCCTTGCTGGATTTTTTTAAAACTTCCAATTCTTGTCTGGACCGTTGCCATTCCAGTTTTTGTCAGGGAAAAAAAAGATTAATTGATCCACCAATGGCTACTCCCTAGCATTACAAAAAAAATTGTACTAAACTGGTCACTAATTTGTTCATCTCCCTTTTCCCTATCTCTCTCAGTTTTGGCTTAGAGAAGACTACAGTACTACATCCCAAGGGAGGAACTGGCCCAAATACTTTGTCTGCTCATGTATTAGAAGAAACCTGGAATTTTCACAAAACAGGCAGTAGTGTGCATGTGACTGCTTGTAAAAATCTGTGTGCTCACATGCATGTGGGCGGGCTTGAGTAATTCAAAAAGCACAGATTGTGCTGAAAACGTGCAAATTTGTGTTTCTGAACCAAAACTCACAGGAGTCCCTAGGCATTGTGGCCTGCAGCTGGGGAATTCTGGAAGCTGTAGTACAAAAACCCAAATATTAATGTCCTCTAGTATGTACAGAGTGTGTGAATAGAATATTCTATCCAGAAAGTTTCACTAACAGAGATATAAAACCTTACAATGAAACCAAGTTTACCTTTGCCCGCTCTTTTGTTAACCGTGGCCATGACTGGCCAGATTCACCTTTCCGTAAACAACATAGGACAGATCTGTCTGTTCTTTTATGCTTAGATTCCTAAAAAGAAAGAAAAGTTCCTTTAACATGCCTAGTTCTACAAAGTCAATGAATTATATGTGTTTCTAAATTGTAGCATTTTTGTAGGGACTCATCTGACTGCATACTCTTCTATTTAAAAACAAACAAACACTTATCCTTCCCCCTGGTATGTCAGTTTTTCTAGAGTATGGATTTTTTATTTTTCAGATGAAAAGGTATTCAACCATATAGGTCCAGAACTGGTACTACTAAAAACACATGTTAATCTTTTAATTTGCTTATATGGACTACATTTACATACAGGAGTGTTGACTTATTAAAGCAGCATCTAATGAGCCATGCTACTAACTACCTCAAGTTGCATTAGTGTCTCACCAGATATGTCGGTTGAACAGAACTGAATTAATCATCTGGGTTAAGCATCTAATTGCTAAGAATCTATTCCTCAATGAGGTATATTTAGAATGGTTAGCTGGTCATAAAATCTCCTGACTGTGATGAACTTGCAATCCCATTTCCCCCAAAATGAATTAAGATGAATCACAGTAGCAGTGGGACAGCAAAAAGAACATTGAAATAAGTGTAAAGGTAACGACTACTTCTTCCTCATGTGCTCTGAACTATGGCAGGAACAGATATTGGGCAGAGGTTTTAAAAGACACATCTACATGCTGTACTTCTAAATGGTAAGCAACATTTTATGGCACATACATCTAAATCCAATGTTATTCCCTGCCAGTGAAGACCAATTGAAGTGAACGTGAACAGTTAGTTACAAGTTAAATTTCTTCCACTGATTTAAGCAAATTATTCTAGACAAGATTAAAACTGGCTCTAGTCCTTTACAAATCAATGTACAGTGGTGCCTCGCATAGCGACGTTAATCCATGCAGCAAAAATTGCTGCTAAGTGATTTCGTCGCTATGCAATTTTAAAAAGCCAATAGAAACGCATAAAAACCTATTTAATGTGTTCCCATGGGCAAAAAACTGACCTTAATTTTTATTTTTATTTATTTATTGTATTTATACCCCGCCTATCTAGTCATTTCGATCACTAATCGGCCGAGAACACAGTGGGCGGCCATTTTTTTTACCCGTCGGCCATTTCGGAACCGCCGATCAGCTGTTTAAAAATCATCGCTTTGCGATGATTTGTAAGGGAAACAGGGAACCGATCATCGCAAAGCGATAAAACCCCATAGGAAACATCGCAATGCGATCGCTTTTGCGATCACAAAAAGTTAATCACTATGCGGTTTAGTCGCTAAACGGATCGCCCGTTAAGCGAGGCACCACTGTACATAGTCAACTGACATACTGCCTGAAATCCTGTTGCTCAGTGCAGTAAGTTTCAACTAGAATACAGTAGTCCCTCGCATTACGATGTTAATTCGTTCCAGTGAAATCGCTGTAGAACGAAAACATCGTAAAGCAAAATTAAAAAGCCCATAGAAACGCATTAGAACCCGATTAATGCGTTCCTATGGGCTTGAAACTCACCGTCCAGCGAAGATCCTCCATAGCGCGGCCATTTTCGCTGTCTCTGCAGCGAGGAATCTGTCCCAGAAAAGAGCGGGGAGCCATTTTTTTTACCTGGCAGCCATTTTGAAACCGCCGATTAGCTGTAGGAAAGTCGTTTTGCGAGAATCGGTTCCTGAAACAGGAACCGATCATCGCAAAGCAAAATTCTCCCATAGGAAATATCGTTTTGTGATTGCTTTTGTGATCGCAAAAACTTCGTCGTAATGCGATTTCGTCGTAAAACGGAGCGCTTGTCTTGTGAGGCACCACTGTAGGTTCATTTAATCAACAGGGATTCTAATGGTACTTTAGACTGATTCAATGCACATTCTCTAGTTCCAACTTGTTATGCAAAGCAACAAGATTTCAGTAATTAGACTGAAAATCTAATTAGTAAGTATAAGTATCATTCAGGACTTGTATCCATAACATATTTAGTTATGTCCTCAGAATAATGAGTTTCTAAAACATTACCGTATTTTTCCATTTATAAGACGACCCAATGTATAAAATGAACACCGCCCCCATTCTAACCCCAAATTAGAAAATTTGATCCCTGCTTTCCCCTTCCTTTTGCTAAGCCACGGAGCTTTGTAAAAGGAAGGGAAAAACAGGGATCAAAGGGCGAAAGCAGCGGAGGCGGCAGCAGGAGGAGGCGGAAACTAAGGCAAAGAAGTAGCCTGGCTCGCCCGCCTCTGGCTGCTGCCCACTGACAACTGTCGCCACCGGCATATCACAAGGAGATGAGCGCTTGAGGGGGAGATCGGGTGGTGGTGGCAGTCAATGGGCAGCAGCCAGATGCAGCCAAGCTGGGCTGCTTCTTTGCCTCTGTCTCTACCTCCTGCTGTTGTCTTCCGTGTATAAAACAACCCTCATTTTTCCTCTAATTATTTTAGGAAAAAGTGTCATTTTATACACTGAAAAAATTCAGTAAGTACAGTGGTGCCTCGCTTAACGAGCACACTGTACAACGACGAAATCGCATAGTGATCCCTTTTTTGGGATCGCTAATGCGATCGCTCAACGACGATTAGATAGGGCGAAACTCGCTTTGCGAAGATCGGTAAGCATTTCGCTTACCGATCTTCGCAAAACGAAGCCCCGACGATCAGCTGTTCGGCGGCCAAAATGGCCGCAGGAAGCCCCGAAATGGCCACGCACAGCATTTTCGCGCCCTCCCCTCGCTTAATGAGGGCGCGAAAATGGCTGCCGGCCATAGGAAGCATCGCTGAATGGTGAGTTTTCGGCCCATTTGGAACGCACCGTTCAGCAATGTTTCGCTATAGCGAAGGTTAATCCGGAACGGATTAACCTTGCTATGCGAGGCACCACTGTACCTACTGCATGATGCTGGTACTGCAGGGGAAAGAAACAAAATCTGTGAACAGGCTACGCTTGCTGCCCTGCGAATAATCTACAGTCTAGCACCTTGTGACATGTTAAAAGCAGGCATGAGGAAGACAAAAGGAAGAGAACTTACATTTGGATCAATAGAATTATAAAGATCAATTTCATTTAAATGCTTGAAGTTATCATTTCCTCCAAGACAACTGTAGAAAATAAAAAGAATGTTATTTTCTCTCTACTGCAAGAAAACAAGAGTTAATTTATTCATGTAAACATGGTATTTGTTTTTGCTTTGCTTTCAGAGGTTTTTGCTTACCTGAACGTAAGTTTGCTTTTTTCAAAATTTACATTAACATCTTTACTATCTTCAACACAAAATTCAATAAAGACGTAGTCCCTTCGGTCATACCACTTTGCAGAAGCAGGCTGCCTAGAAAGATCATTTGAGAAGGAGATTAAAATGTGAACAACCATTTCACAGAACCGTAAATAACCCAAACTGAATGTTCACACTGTCGATAGTCAGCACTTATACTAAAGCAGTTAAAAGCAAGAGAGAACAATTCCAAGCCACAGACACACTGCTTTTTATGAGTGTAATTCTCCAAATATCACTTGTGCATACCTGAAACAAGATATTTCCCTCCTCTCCATCCCCTGCTGCCCATGTGACCTGAAAATCTATTTCTGAAAGTAACATTACATTTTTTTGTTTTTATTATCCTTATGGTTCTAAATATACTGAGAAGTCTTGAATGAACAAGACTCAAAAGGCATAGAAGGACACAATAAATCATGTTTATGTACGTTCTGTGGCATAAGGCTGATATCATCAGCCAGAGCAATTTTTTTTGGAAATTAAACTTGCATCCTCCTGCCACAAAGGCTTCATTGGTCCTGAGTAATTCTCTTCATTGTTGGGATGAGGGATGTCACATCCCAGCAGTGATGATTTTTGGTAATTAATGCTTTCTCCTCCTCCCCCTCAGTCCACATGGGCTCCCAACAATAAAGGGGGTTATTTGGGACCTGTAAAAGCTTCCTATCGTGAGGGTGAAATGTTTTAATATCTCCAAAAATTGTCCTAATTGTTATCATTAGACTTATACTGCAGAGCTTATATAAATAGAATTTCAGCCATACAACACCAAATGGAAACTAGCAGAAAGTCTTATTTCAAATAACCACAAGCTGCCAAGGCAGAATCTCTTTCTAATACAGTGGTGCCTCGCTTAACAAGCGCCTCGTTTAACGATGAATCCGCATAGCGACGGATTTTTTGCGATCATTTTTGCGATCGCATAACAATGTTTCTAATGGTAAAAAATCGCTTTGCGATAGTCGGTAAGCTGTTTCGCTTACCGATTTTCGCATAGCGATGTTTTAAAAACAGGTGATTGGCGGTTCCAAAATGGCCACCCTCTGTGTTTTTGCCCAGATTCCTTGCTTACTAGGCAGCAAAAATGGCCGCCATATGGAAGATTTTCGCATTAAGGTGAGTTTTTTGCCCATAGGAACGCATTAAACAGGTTTTAATGCATTCCTATGGGCTTTTTTATTTCGCATAGCGACGAATCCGAATAGCAACGATTTTGGCTGCACGGATTATCATCGCTATGCAGGGCACCACTGTACTATAAACCTTATTTTAGTTTCAATCTTGGAATTTCCTAGTTAAGATACATGCAAGCACATGCCTGATTCATCCAAATTCAAGGCCTTTTGGAGAAGAATACTACTAGGCTTGAAACCTCACAGAATGCCCGTGGAGGCACTGCTTATGAGAGCTGGCACCTCCATTCATATTGCAATCCACACAAACTGGCCCAACTTTGGGGTGTGCCAGAATTAAACAAACCACGCTAGCAACATGCACAGTTAGTCTGTGAATGTACTAGCTTTCATAAGACATTTTTGGACAAGTGCTTCTAGACTAGGAGTGGATTAGTGTCATGTTCATGTTCATGTTCATGAAGTGTTCAGAAAGGATACTAAGCTGAACCATAGCTCTATAGTTATGGCTCTACAGCACTAAAAATTATTTTAAGCATCATCAAGCAAGCAGGAAAAATACAGGAACTTCAGAGGTTCAAAACAAACTAGCAAATTCTACCAAACAGAACAATATGCATTGAGGAAACAGCATAGTCAAGTTTTGTTGCTAAGGTCTTGGCATAAACAAAGGCAGAGCAATCGTGTACTCTGGGTTTGTTGTTCCCTCAAGTAAACCGGACTCAAAAGCTGTGATTTAAATTCAGTTTTCCCACTGCTGTTTTGTTAAGGAACAGGAAGTCATGGCTGAGTTTTGGAGTCAGGCAAAGTTTAAAGAAGGATGCAGTACTAGTGTCTAATATTAATAAATTACAAAATTCTTATAAAGCTTGCCTACTAATGAATTAATTGTTTGGCTTTAAAGAAATCGTCTACACTCATTTCAACTACCAAAGAGGTTTTAAAGTTTGCCCATAAATAGAGAAAGGCTACCATTTATACAGCAGTGATTAGTATTTTAATCTAATTTGTTTGTGACCTGCACAACTGACAACTAAAAACAGAGCTATACGGAATGCACTTAAACCTTGGAGTAGTCTCTTCTTATCATGCCAACATAATTATAAGCAGGAAAAATACTTAGGCTTATGAGGCAGTAGGCTTTAATGTGTATACCAACAGCCCCTATCACAAAGCAAGCTATATACACTCCCTGTTCTCACCATGGAACAAAGCCATAAAACAAGCTTAAACACACATTTTAAGGAGTAGAATCACCATGTTCATGAATTAAAGCCACTGAAGTACAAAAATGTATTTCTAAACTATTTGCTTAAAATTCTTTCAAAATTGGCTGAATTGGTGATATGGAATACTTTCTTTTTGTGCAAAACACAACTTACAACAGCACACAGCTCTTGTAACTTCCAAGTACATTATAGGCTCTGTTAGTAAAACATCTTACATGCTATTTATAGATGAACTGATAAGAACCTATACCATTCACAATCCATCTGTATTAGTTCTAAATTCATAGAAACTGTATGTTATCCTCTTGCTTACAGATTTTAATCAAATGATCACCTCTTCCACGATCTGCAACATTATCTCTTTTGCCAAAAAGCTTTCAAGTTTAAAGCCTCTTTCAAATCAAAGCTTATTTATCCATGCAGCAGTGAAGAACTGAGACCTGTTTAAGAGTTCACATCTGATGTCACATAAGCAGTGGTTCTCAAACTTGCGTTCCCAGATGTTCTTGGACTGCAACTCCCAGAAATCCTGGCCAGCACAGCAAGTGGTGAAGGCTTCTGGAAATTGCACTCCAAGAATATCTGGGGACCCCCATTTGAGAACCACTGACAAGAGTACTGGCCAAATGTCTTGGGCTTCATCTTTATTCTGTAAAAAGAATCTGTTCTACAATCTAACCTGAATTTCCTTACAGTTGCATACTGCAAAGGAACACTGAATAATAACAGGCAATGTGTCTTTCAGAAGTTACCCTAGCATCACTGTTGTTCCTCAGTGAGAACTTCAGGATTCTTCCAAGTAGTATGACACTATTTTGTCTGAACATTCTTATAAGCACTCTACTGAAATAAAATACAATTTTAAGTTCTCAGCTTAACAGAAATGTTGAAATTTTCACAGCAGCAATATATCTGATATGGAGATTAACTGGGAGAAATATATAAACTGCTCTTTGATGCAGTTTGACAACCACTGCTCAGCGCTTCTGACTTATGCACCTCAAAGTCCTCATTTGTGATCCTCAATTTCATTTCATAGATCCAACCAAAAAGAGAAGAATGTACTTCATATCTTTTCTGTAAGTAATAAGCTCATTTTGTGGAGGTTCAACTGAATAAGGTTCATTTTCTAGAAGTCCACCGGAATAAGGATTCAGACATTTTAGATCTTTTGGGCTCTTCATCTTATAGGGGTAACATTAATCATGTTCCAGCAAGTAAATTCCTACTCATGGTGACCCTTTTCAGGGTCTTTCAGGTAGAGAATACTCAGAAACAGTTTACCATTCTTTTCTTCTGAGGGTACCCTGGAACTGAGCAACTTGCCCAAGGCCACACAAGCTGGCTCTACAATACCAGGGAATTATTTTAGTCTAGTTTGGTTTTCAATTCTATTAGTATTGTTCAAGATGGGCAATGTGAGGAAAAAACTAAAGTAAGAAGTAAAAATTAAGTACAGTGGTGCCCCGCACAGCGATGATAATCCGTTCCGAAAAAATCGTCGCTATCTGGATTCGCCACTATGCGGGGCAAAAAAAGCCCACAGGAACGCATTAAACGTGTTTTAATGCGTTCCTATGGGCAAAAAACTCACCGTTATCCGGAAATCCTCCATGCCGCCGCCATTTTCGCTGCCCGGTAAGCGAGGAAAGGGCGCGAAAACACTGCGGGTGGCCATTTTCTTTACCCGGCGGCCATTTTGGAACCACGACCAGCTGTTAGAAAAAACATCACTATGCGAAAATCGGTAAGCGAAACCATCTAAAACATCGTTATGCAATCGCTTTTGCAATTGCAAAAAAACGCCTTGCTATGCAGATTTGTCCTTAAACGAACCGCTCGTCATGCGGGGCACCAATGTATTGACAAGGAGGGAAGGCCTGCCTAAAGAGCCAAGTCTTTAATTGACTCTTAAAAACACCCAGCAAGGATGCCAGGCAAATCTCTGACGGCAAGCTGTTCCAAAGTCGAGGGGCCACTGCTGAGAAGGCCCAGTTCCTTGTTCTTTCTTTCTGGGCCTCCCTCAGCCATCTTTCCTGGCTACAGCAAGTGACTCGAGTAGATCTAGGTGGGAGAAAGTGTTCAGCTAGGTATTGATGTCCTAAACCGTTTAGAGCTTTATATGTCATCATTAACACTTTGAAATCAATGTGGAAACGAATGGGCAACCAATGCAAGGCAGCCAGAGTGGGAGAGATATGCTGGTATTTTCTCATCTCACTAAGAAGTCTGGCCGCCACATTTTGCACCATTTGAAGCTTCTGCATCAATCTCAAAGGTAGCCCCACGTACAGCGCATTACAGTGGTCTAATCTCAAGATTACAAGCACATGGACCAGTCGCATATTACTTAACTGTTCATGCCCAATTTGATGTGGTCTCAATTTTCATCATATACACTGCCACATCATGCACACACATCTTCCAACACAGCCAGGAAGGCTATAGTTCAATGAAAGTGCATGTTTCACAGGAACAGTCTGAGGTTCAATCTCTTGCATAAAGAGAGGAGGCTGAGGAATAGCCTTGTCTGAAACACAGAACAGCAACTGCCAGTCAGCAAAGACAATGCTGAGTTAGAGAAACCAATGGTGTGACTCAGCATAGAAACTTCTGATCAGTTATGCAACCATGTAATATGCTGTTTCACACATGCACTCAAGCATGTTTCACTACATTTGCAACTACA